AGACAGAGAGAGAGAGAGAGAGAGAGAGAGAGAATTCAAGCTTGGACTCTGTACTATGGATTCTACCAACACAGAAACACAGATGAGCTATAATTCGGATACTTACTTAACTTACTAGTACTTACTTGGAATAGCTGTTGGTCCATACATCTGTACAGTAGTGTATATTATAAGCACTGTGGTGGCGTTGTATTCTGTTGCTTCTATGGAATAAATTGTTGGCGGTTTCTGAAAAAATCCCGAGTGTCTGATGGTCTTATCTGAGTATTCTCAGTAAATTACCTAATTATACTTAGTAAATTACATAATGTTTCATCTGTTTTATCCATGTAATTTCGAGAATTGCTTAGTTTAATTATGTTGATACCTTAAAGCAACCAGTGCAGTTTTTAGGGCTTTTGAAACCCGATTTTTTAACGCCAATATTCTAGTCATTTATCTACATACTGAGTTAAAACCACACTGTCTCAATGTATATTGACCCTCATGGAGCAAAGATTAACAATGACGGAAAGTGGTTACTGGAAGGTCCCTGGGGTGATTTTTAGGGTACCACCCAGAAAATAAAGGACTCCATGTGTCTTAGGGCTTGTTTCTGCAGCTTTAAAAGTTCAAAGAAATACTGACTCAAATGTGCTAATGTGAACCATTATGTGTCAATATCACAAAGACTGCCTTATTCAGAATATTTCCCGTTTTGCTGCCCTGAAATCGCATTGGAATTTCCTTTAACGGTTCAGCTGACATACTTGTACATGACTATATGGAGTAATCCTTACAGGTCCACCTTTCAACTTTTAACCTCGACCTGTGTATCCGCCATATTGTTTCTTGTTGGTTGTAATTATAAACTGACACTGTAAAATTCTTAGACATTTGGCCGTTTTGACGTCTTTTCTGGTGACAAAGAAGGAGACAAGAAGAAGAAGCAGGTATGTAAGGGTGGATTTGGGGTTAGCGGGCCCGTTGTTAGGCTAGCAGTACCTACACGATGTAGCTAAAGTAAGTCTATACGCTAGTTAGATTGAGATAATTCTAGCTTCTATGGGGAACAGCCGTTTTTTTTTTAAATGGCGTTGTACATTAGGTGAACTGGTCAGAAAAAAAGATTTCGCTGGTGAATTCACTTTGCTTCTTATCCATTCCCTTAGATAAATCGTCCTAAATTTGCTACTTTTAAGGCAATTGCGACATGCCTTAAAATGCAAATGCGACGACATTTGAGTAATCAGGCGTAGGACTGTAACCTTTGACATATGTCAAGGCTCCAACTTGCTATATGCTCTGGAGCTGGCCCGTGTAGACCCTGGAAACAGTCTGGTTTCCAGGCTAGCATGTTGGCCCTGGAGCTGGCCTGTGTAGGCCCTGGAAACAGTCTGGTATCCAGGCCAGCATTTAGGTCCTGGAGCTGAGGATGAGACCTGTGTAGCTAGTATAGGCCCTGGGAATAGTCTAGTATCCAGGCTAGCCTGTAGGCAGAATGTTTTTTTTTTTTCACATTTCATTATTCCCCACAAAACAAGGCTCATGAGAACCACTCAAAATGTTTTGGGTTACTGTACAGACAGTGAGGACAGATGTTTGTTGACCTTAGACTTGAAAAGTTTAAGGTTATACCCATATGAGAAACAATTGCGTAGTAGCACATTCCATAGTAATGTTGTTCTAGGAAAGCTTGCCTGTGTAGGGCTTGGAAACAGTCTGGTATCCAGGCTAACATTTAGGTCCTGGAGCTGAGGATGAGGCCTGTGTACCTACATGTAGTATAGGCCCTGGGAATAGTTTAGTATCCAGACTAGCATGTTGGCTTTGGAGCTGGCCTTTTATTAGTTATAGTATATCTTGTAGTTAATATACTGACTTTCTACATGGTGTTGATGAACCTTAAAGTACTTATAGCCCAACTGTCATTATTCTGTCTCAATTGCTGGTGGAATTAATAAAAAATACACACAAAGTCAAGATCCTTTCACTCTAACCACTTTATTCTAAATCTTTACTTAACTAAGAAGAGAGAAACTGTCCTGTGTTGTTTTTTTTTCATTCTTGATAATTGTTCTTAATCTACATGTATAAGACATTCAGTTCACAGATCAACATCATGATCAACAATGCTAGCAACTTGAAGATTGCGTCTTAAGAAAAGTTTGGATGTACTAAGTAAATGTAGACAGGCTTCTTTAAGAAAGGCTAGTACGTCTCCAGTTCTAGCAAGATGCCGTCCTGAAGTCAAGTTCAGCTGTACTTGTAGACAACTCTCCAGTTCTAGAAAGCCTGTCTTAAGAAAAGCTCAGATGTACTTGTAGACGACCTTCCTGGGCACCACGCTGACCTCGACCTTGACGGGACACTTTAAGAAGTGCGAGAGGAGTGTCTCGGTGTAGCCGAGGAGGAAGTAGTACTTCTGAGGGTCCAGTTTCCTCAGCAGGAGCAGAGCGATGAAGATCGTGTTGTGTCGGCGTTTCACGATTATCTCGTCAGCTAGACAGTTGTGGAAGGTTCCCTGGAGGAACTTACGGATAAACATGTCCTCGAATGTACGGTCTGCCGCCCCAGGCTGCTCCCACAGGTTACCTAGGAGATGTGGACAAACAATATGTTTTCATGAAAGTTTATCTGTGTTGGTAGTAATCATAGTAAAATGTTGAACTTTATTCCAACACAATGAGTACACAGAGATCAAATTTTAAACGACTACTGCAATATCAAATATCCTGATGTAGGTGACAGTGGTTGTTGAAAATTTGGTCTCTGTGTATCTGTTGTGTTGGAATAAAGTTCAACATTTTACCAAAACAACATGTTTCTTTGTTAACCTTTTTGTATAAATATTGCTGCCTTATATTGTTATACAGTCGCTTTTGAGGCAATGAAAGCTGAACATGTCCTCAAATGTGCGGTCTGCTGCGCCAGGCTGCTCCCACAGGTTACCTGGGTGATGTGGACAAACAACATGTTTATTTTTTGTTTTTGTACCAAAGGTTCATAGGATACGTTAGTGATGTAGTCACTTTTGAGGCAACAAAGGCCAAACATGTCCTCAAATGTACGGTCTGCTGCGCCGGGCTGCTCCCACAGGTTACCTAGGAGATGTTCACAAACAACATGTTTATTTATTTTTGTATCAAATTGTCCTGTTATAGTTCTATAGTCTGACTTCTGAAGCAATGAAAACTGAACATGTCCTCAAATGTGCGGTCTGCTGCGGGAGGCAGTTCCTACAGTTTACCTAGGAGATGTTGACAAGCAACATGTTTGTTTACTTTTTGTACCGAAGTTTCCTCCTTAATGTATAGTTTTATATTTGCTTCTGAGGCAATAAAAAATGAACATGTCCTCGAATGTACGGTCTGCTGCGCCAGGCTGCTCCCACAGGTTACCTAGGAGATGTTGACAAACAATGTTTGTTTACTTTATGTGAATCACTGACATTTGTATAGTTTTACCAAATTGTCACAGTGACATTACAAAAGGTAGTCCCTCGTTGTCACTAAAAGTGTCACTTTTAATGACAATGTTGGACTACCTTTTGTAATTTCTAGGGATTCAATTACTTCTGCTTTTAATTAAAGCTTGTGTAGAAATAGTACTTTTACTGTTGTTGGCAGTCAAATTCTGTAATGTCACTCCAACAATTCAGCTTTTGGGCCATGACTGCTGTGATGTAGTTGATGTCATAATAATACATGTAAGTCATTATTACCTATCTAAGTCTTAATAAATTCATTTATCTATCCTGGGTTTACACAAAAAACAGAGGGCAAGGAAAATAAATTTGTGTGGCAACAGTCAGCTTACTAATAACCATCTAAGTCAATGCTGTTATGACACTTAGAACTTAGAAGCTCCATGATATGATTGATAAGATCCTCACTAGTATGCCATGAGTTCCAAGATTTCCTGACGCCGATGAAGTGTGGAGGATTGGCCATCTCGTATGTCAGCGGTTTGTTGCCGTCCTTGCTGATTTTGTACTTCGCTGCCTGAGCCTTGTGACACGCTGACGTCACATGGAGGAACCTGCTGGGGATTCTGGGACTGGTCAGGACTCTCAGGAACTGGAACATGGACACATTATCAAAAATAAATCAAAAGAAAAAGGAGAACACATTTCATGAACAAAATATAGAAACTAGAAAGGTAACATTAGCAAATGCATAATGTTTACCTTCACATGATCTGCTCTGCTAATCCTTACTCAAACACATTTATATATCATTATAATATAAATATTATGGTCAGACAGGAGGCTAAATCCCTCATGCTATAAACTTGTGACATGATGTAATCCAACACTAGTTACCATGGTGATAGACTGTCATTGACCTTTTGTGTTTGGAGAAGAGGAAACAGAGCAAAAACAATAGATATTCAGGTGATTTATTTGTAGTAGTAAAACAACAAGAGGAGTTTCATGTGTGTTCATTTCTTGGATTCTGGGACTGGTCAGGACTCTCAGTAACTGGAATGTGGGATAAGTTTACATTACACACATCATCAATGATGAATCAAGAGAACTCCTACCCGGCCTAAAGAACTCTACTTCTACTTCATGAACAAAGTTATAGAAAATAGTCAGGCAATTAGTTTCATGTGTTCATTCCTGGCCTTTTTTGGACTGGTCAGGACTGTAAGTAACTGGAACATGGACAAGTTTACACATTTACACACACGATATTATCAGCATGATCTGTCCCATAGTCGTATTTTGCCCCCCCCCCAACCAAGTGGGGAGGGGGGCGCAGAAACAACTAAGTCACCACTTATACTTCTAGGCATGTGTGTCATTGGTACACAAAAAACAACGTACACAACGATAGTTAGGTACTTTAATGCTACAGATGCACATACAACTTATAACTTACAAGTTATAGAGGCTAACTGACACAAAATCTGCTCTACGTCGATCGACATAGACCAAAAAATATATTTTTGTGGTCGCCCATACCGATCTAAAATCGCAGAAAATCTTCCAACTACAAAGAACTTTACCGCTACCACCTATGTTTTCCTTACAACATCATGTCACTATCTAACTAAATTACAACAGCCTTAGATCAGAATAAATACGGATTTATCGACAATTTTTCACTCACTTCTGCACAGGACGGAATTTTTGCCAAGGGCGCCGCCATCTTGAACTCGCAATGCCTGACGGGATAGGGAACACACATTTGCCATGCTTCACTTCCGGGTTTGAAGTAGAAAGAAAACATACACAACTCAGCCCAGGGAAGCCATTTTCGCCGCAAAACTTTAGTTTTTTTTACCAACTATGCTCTCCAGTCGGACTTCAAGATTCATTCACAAGTTTCTACCCATCATAGGGACGATTCTGCTGATTTTTGCACAGTATTTGGTGCTTGCAGAAGACGACCCCCCTCCCCAGCCTGCATATAACGAGAACCCAGCTTTCCGACCGAACTCTGTCCACAGTAACTACGGGTTCTCGGCGGAGTACTTCAGGTACAACTACAGCCAGACTCCCGTCATCATCTGGTGGACCAAGGCGCTCTTCCCGCACTTTAACGGCAACACCGCCACTATACACTGTGATCTCGGTACGTAACGTTGTTGTTGCATTTTGTCCTTCTATATATCATCTTCTTTCTGTTGGGTGACCACGGTCATTTAGTTCAACTTGAAGATCCTGTCACCATGTGTACAGGGGTGGAGAGTGGTGTGGTGTGTGGTCGTCTAAAATCTCGCTAGGCGTGGTCTCTTGGTGCTGGTTTGCACTTAGTTCAGAGTCAACTTCAAGTTGTCTCTCGAGGTCTCTATACTATAGTATAGTATCATGGAGGTTACAACTTACAAGAAGAAAAGAGATTGGTGCATTGTGCTTGTGTTATGCTGGAAGTGTCTCTAGGAGAGCATGTCAAATCAGTGCATACTTCTCAATGTACCGTGATACCAGGAGAAGGATATATATATAGCTAGGTACATCTGGTTGTTCACTGCTTCAGGAAGAGCTGATTACAACTTTAAGCTTTGCGGCTAATGTACGTTGATTTTTGGGGAGGCTGCCTACAGATTACGAAGACTAAAAAGGCAGATTTCGCCTTACGAAAAAGGGTATCTGTGTCTGTATAGCCGGTATAGCCGTCCTTCAGCGTAACACACCAGCTTTGCAGGCACGCGGCACGGCGGCAGCTGGCTACATCACACCGATTGACTTCTTACACCTAACCCTTGAACTTCTAACTCTAGACATTGTTTAAAGCTATCTAATGACAATGCCCCTACTGTACTTGGTGACAGCGAGTTCCACTCTGCGACAGTTCTTATATATAATAAGGAAAGAATCAGATTTTGAACACCTCAATCCTTGGTTGATAACTCTGGTGCTTGAAGGCATGACTGTTTCTTTTTCTCTTCTGGGCTGGTATTACTATTAGGTACTTAGTAGTTGGTACGTCCACCAGTTTATTACTATATTAGTCATTTTGTACATCATGCATCGTACATATCTGTTTTCCTCTGCTATGCTGTAGGTACGTGCATCTCTACAACAGACAAGAAGAAGAAGCGCGACCCGGCCACCCGAGGGTTCATCTTCTACGGCACGGACTTCAGGGCCCACGAGACGCCGTTGCCACGACAACCGCATCACGAGTGGGCTCTGCTCCACGAGGAGTCTCCAATGAACAACTACATCCTGTCCCATCAGCCCATGCTGCAGCTGTTCAACCACACGGGGACGTTTCGCAGGGAGTCAGACTATCCTCTCACACTGCAGGTAATAATAAATGGCTTATTGGTCAATGTTTCTTTGTTTAATTTTCCATTTTGCTTTTAGACATTGATATGCAAATTCAGTTTCATTATCGTTTATATCATTTGTCATATTTATTTAGTATGTTTTCTGTACTTTATTTGTCTGTTTTCGTTTCTTTTATTATAACTATCTTTTGATTGTACTTCAGTTACCTTTTATTATGTTTTGTTATGTATGACACATGGAGCTTTGAAAAGCGCCAAAATGGCGATATGCTAACCCGTATAAATAAATAAAAATGAAATAAAAATGAAATGAAACTTTATCCGTGCAGTCGCAGCCTTAGTTTATGGTGCTGAATGGATGCAGGGTTTATAATCATCAGGACAATCAAATAATACAAAATGCCCTGATTTTGTATTAATGAATTCTCTCCAGCAAGTCAGGCCATTGTAGTGTTTTAATGAACTCTCCCCACTAAGCCATCCCCTGATGGTGTGTTAATGGATTTTCCCCGCTAAGCCATCCCCTGATGGTGTGTTAATGGATTTTCCCCAGCACCTGCCATCGCTGTCGTACCTCACGAGTCGTGATCCAGTGCCGCTTCATGAGAAGAACCGACTAAAGGATACGGCTGGCCTGGCCTCCGTGGCCTACATCCAGAGCCACTGTGGGGTTGCTTCAGACAGAGACAGGTCAGTATGGACCCCCCCATGCACACCCACACACATCCCTAAACAAAAGGATACGGCAGGCCTCGCCCCTGTAGCCTACATCCAGAGCCACTGTACACACATGTACAGTGGATATCCGGACTAGTCCTTGTTCAATCTTCTTCATTTCGTATCACCATTAACTGTACTACCCTACATTAGTGCAGCATAGACAGTATTCCCTAATATTATTAGTCTACATGTAGTTCAGATTCCCATCTTTTTGGTGTCCTTTTCTGGAGGTATAGCTGTGAAAGCATGTAATAGTAATTGTAGAACTTTATATTTTCCCCCCTTTCCCAGCTATGTGCAGGAGTTGATGAAGTATATAAAAGTGGACTCCTTAGGAAAGTGTCTGCATAACAAGGAGCTTCCAGAGGAGCTGCAGAACACCTTAACCATGGAGGAGGACGGCTTCTTCAGTATCATCGCAAACTACAAGTTCCACATCGCATTCGAGAACGGCATATGCAGGTCCTGATATTTACATATCATTCATATTACATATATAGCATTTACCTATCATATACATATCATTCATATATTAATTCATAGTTTTTAGATAAATATGTCTTGTTCAAGTACAGATTTTGTTACTGTGTTAGTGGATGCACGACTCATAGAAAATGTTTGTGAATATAAAATGAAATGAATAGACATGGCTGCTGTGGAACAGTACAGGAGAACGTAATACTATACATGTAGAAGCTCCGTCATAACTGTTTATCGACCAATGCAACAATAGTTACGGGAGGATGTAAAAATGAAATGAATAAATCTGCAGAGACTACATGACAGAGAAGCTTTTCCGTCCGCTGCACCTGGGGGTTGTGCCAATCTACTGGGGCTCCGAGGCGGCCAAGGACTGGATGCCCAACGATCACAGGTAAATCTAGTGTATCTATGTAGTAAATGTTAGTGATTAGCAACCCTGCATCATTCTGGACCATGACGTTGGGAGTTTGAATCCAGGCTGTTGTGGCTTACCCAACATGCACACTACTGGAAACTTCTTGAGTTGCAGTGTAATTAGAACAGGTCTGGACATTAAGTACATATAGTGTGCATGTCAAATGGTGCTCAGGAAATTTTACAGGTACAATGAACCCCCAATTACTGTACATGTATATAGCATCTGTTTTCTCTGTGTGGAAGAGTAACTTTTCAGCGATCTAAAACTGGATCGAGTTTCATCAATCACTTTCCCTTCTTCGCAGCATCATCCTTAAGGACGACTTTGCGTCTCCCAAGGAGCTAGCGGAATACATCACCTTCCTGGACCAGAATGATGAGGAGTATGAGAAGTTCCTGGAGTACCGACAGCCGGGGGGGATCACTAACACCCTGCTTGTGGAGGAGATGGAGAGAAGGCCGTGGGGACTGAGCAGCATGGACGAACCAAACTTCATCAACGGCTTTGAGTGTCACGTGTGCGACAGGTAATTGTTGCTGTACAGTACTAGCCTCAAAATTAATTTTATGAATACATCACTGTTACTGATAAAAAACGACAGAGAATTCAGTTCAGAATTAATATCCCACTTTGTTGTCAGTACTGTTGGCTTGACAGCTATCAAACTTCAGGGCACTTAGCTTAAACCTTTGGAAGCTCAAAATGCCAAGTAGTGTATGGTATAGTATATGTAACAGTTATAGATTGAAATGGTACTGGTAATATTTAGAAAGTTGCTCTAGCTTCCACACTTTTTATCTGTCCAACTTCCCAAAGGAGTCACTGTACCTTTCCAAACCTCTCTACCTTTCCAGTATGTTTCAACTTCCCAGTATGGTGTGTTTTACTCTGTAAAAATTTACCTTCCCAACCCTTGCTTTTTATATTGTATATCCAGGATCCTGGAGAGGCTTGATGCTGAGAGGCTCCATGCAGCTAACCCGGGAGAGAACCCGCCTCCCCCCCCACCCAGGCTGGGTCAGTACACACACATGGGCTGCCCACAACCCACCCGTGCGGTCGACACTCAGGAACCATCCAAACCTGGCAACGAGTACGTCTGGATTTCACAGCTTTCTTTTGTTTGTTCCTTGACTGGTGTGAGGATTGTTTACATACTATGTCATAGCATATCATATATATATAGAGATAATGGTTTGAGAGAATGGTTTATTCAACAAAAAACCTTTGCAGCACAAGTGCTGAATTGCGGTTTCCTTACACAGAAATCTTAGGCTTATTAACATTATACATTAAACAAGTCATAAATCCTATAAAATCAAATAAAACCCGGCAGAGAACCCGCCCTCCCCCACCACCCAGGCTGGGTCAGTACACACACATGGGCTGTCCACAACCCACCCGCGCTGTCGACACTCAGGAACCATCCAAACCTGGCAACGAGTACGTCTGGATTTACCAACTTTCTTTTCGAATAAAAGTATACTCATCTGTATTGGTAGAATGATTCATACGGGGGGTAGTTGTAAAGTTCAAGCTTTGTTCTAACACAAGAACGGAACTCACCATAAATTTTCGGTCAATCTCATCAAACTTTCATTTGTTTGTTTCTATTTTCTTGACTGAATAGTGTGAGCATCGTTTCAATATCCTCTGCTACTGTTGTTTCATATTATTCATGTTATTGCAGATGGTTTCATGTTGCAGGTGATATTGCGGATGGTTTATGGTCTTGAAGACAGAAGATGATGGATAGTTGATGTCATAGATGGTTGATATTGTTGCAGTCGGTTGATGTTTCATAATATTGCAGATGGTTTCATGTTATGGATGATGATGCAGATGGTTGGTTTCCTGCATATAGTTTGTCTTGTAGATGGATAATGATTGACAAATGGATGATGTTGCAGATGGTATATACGTACATGTAGTTGCTGCAGATAGTAGATGCTGTTGCAGATGTGTATTGTAGATGGTTGATGATTGACATCTGTTGTTGCAGAATCATGGTTCATATTGCAGATGTTTGATGTTGCAAATGTCTGATGTTGCAGTTGATTATTGTTGCAGATGGCTTGCATTTGACTGGGAGAATGATTTCTGTTGTTGCATATGTTTGGTGTTGCAGATGGTTGCTGTGGCAGATATTTGATGTTGCAAATGTCTAATGTTGCAGATGGCTGATGATTGATGTATGTTGTTGCAGATGGCTTGCATTTGACTGGGTGAATGATTTCTGGGGCACCTGGGACATGGCAATGGCGCTGAAACAGATGATCCAAGCTGGGGAGAAGGACTCAAGGAAATTGTTTGACTTCTTGGAAAAGATGCACGGCAGGCACTGACACATGGTTCCTTATCATCATCATCATCCGTTGTCCGAGGGGTGGGGTAAGATGTTGCCTGTCGTATCCAGAACCGTGATTTATCCAGAATCGTGCTCATGGTTCTGGATAGTTCATACGTATCCAGAACCGTGCTTTATTCATATAACCATGCTCATTCACAGTTCTAGATAGTCCATGGGTATTCAGAACCATGCCTGGAGCAAATCTATGTGATTGGATACAGGGAGACTATCCAGAACTATGCCCTGATCCTAACTTAAACCCATTCAGACATAAAACTACGGTTCTGGGTACGATATGGGTTATTTAAGATATTCAGTCTGCTATGGCAAGACTGAAAGTTTTAGTTGACTACATTTAATCCAGAAGAGTCCAATTATACCAACCAAAGATTAGCTAGTCTCACGTTCTTGACAAGAGAACTAAGTTTAGGTCACACCAAACCATTCCTTTGTCTATTTATTCATTTTTGTTGTTCGGGAACAGTAGTAGGTTTTAGAGTTACTATGGCAGATCAAAAATCATGTTTTTAGGTAGATAAATTGATGGATGGTGGACAATTTTTTAAATTAGAGTTTTATGTCTGCTTCCATACTTTAAGAGGAATACTTTGTTGCATTGTGCATTTCCTTGCATATATGTTTGTGTAGTTTTTATGTATTATGTATAGATAGCATACATTAAGACATTTATATATATTCAGAATCTATATAATAATGATGTATCAAGCTTTCTTAGTCTAGGAACATTGCTAGTGCCCATGTGCAATCAAGCATTTTACTATCAAGGGAATTTTCATGTTTGTGCCAAAATCATACTGTATTTTTTCACTAGATAATCAGGTGTATAAATGTATCAAAATTAATTTGATACTCAAAAATAAAGGCTCTATTTTGAGGAATATAAAATGTCTGAAGATGTCTTTTTTTTCTATCGTGTGCTGATGTAAACAATAGCCTAGGTTGTAACACTCCTGGCTAATCATTGGTTTACAGCAACTGCAATGTTCTAGTCATGTACATGCAGAAGTCCTGATCATGATTGGCCTTGGAAAAATAGTTGAACAGCCCTCTCCTTTTTTCAGCACTCTTTCCCAATGCTTAGCACTCAGTTGAACACACACATCACTACCAGTGGACTAGCCTCCTGCAATTATAGTAAATGGACAACTGTGTGGCCAAAATGGGCTGATTGCCACCGCTACTACATGTACATATATCATTCAAAAACACAAAAACCACTCTGTAGACGACAAGTACAATTTTCCAGCATATTTTAAAGCTTCCTCTCTTCCAACTCACAAAATACAAATGCTGGTCCGACATTTACAATCCCAAATTATCAACAATTTGATAGCACAAGTATGACATTGTGTAAACCCTCACATGTAATTCAGTCCATACAAAAAACTGGTGGTGCCAAAACAGCACAAAATATATGGCAAGAGAAATTGCCCCCCTCCCACTCCAGCTCCTTTTTTGCCATACCGAGTAGAATCAAGCATAGCAAAACGTTGAACTTTATTCCAACATACAATTTATAAAGAAATCAAATTTTCAATGGCCACTGTTGCCTTCATCAGGATAATTGATCAATTATGTCATGTATCAGTAAAGTCTCGTGTGAATAGGGTCACGTGTTTGTAAACCGTAACTCTAGCGAGATCACATTGTGAAGTGATTGGTCATTAATTATCCTGATGAAGGTGACAGTGGTCGCTGAAAATTTGATCTCTTTGTAAATTGTGTGTTGGAATAAAGTTCAATGTTTTGCTATGATTACTACCAACGCAGATGAACTTTCATGATAGTTAGAATCAATCATGTACATGTTATTTTTACCAACTTTCACTGTAAAAGTTTGCCGATCATTATTAGAATTGTTATCAGATTTCTGTATTCAAAAACATGCAAACGTCAAATTCATTTTACAAAGACTATTCTCTAACAATATCTTTTCAGACAAACATATAGTACAACTTAGAGTTTGTGGAAATGTCACTTAAATATCCAATATTCACAAAACTTTAAATATATACATTTCAGGGTGGGTTGAAGTTACTGAATAACATCATACATGCAAATTAGTCAAGACAATTTACTAAAATATTTCATAATTAAACTTTCTTCTATTAGAAGTGGAAATATTCAATAACCTTATTTTCATCACTTTCTGTTTTTTTTTACAGCAAAGAATTTTTTTCAAATTTTTAACAATATCAACTTACTTAAGTGTGAAACTCAACATTATTCTACAATGCTACTTTGTACCAAGAAAATTTCGATTCAACATCACCAAAATCACATCACAGAATGAGTAAACAGTTACTTTACATTTATTTAACATTTTTTATAAGGCCTGTGGAACTTTTCTAATAACATACATTTGGCATCAATGTAGATGTAGAGATACAGTCTTAACTTCTGTAAAGTCTGAATTTCAAACATTTCTTTTCCTCCATGTTCATGACCCTAACACAGTTCAGCAGTGATGCACGTACCGTCACAAAAAATAGCTCTTTTGCTGGTTGTTTAGGAATAAAAAATTAACGTTTGTTACTTGAATGTTTTGGAATACAGTTTCAGTTCATCACACCAAGTGCTGAAAAAGTACAGATCAGAATTATTATTCCTTTTTTTTTTTAATTCTGATTACAAAAATGAGCGAATATGCTGTTGAAAAACTTGCAGTTTGGAAAATTATGTTAGTTTCTTTCTTAATGTATGATAGGTAAAATCCAGATAGAGTGGCCCTATGTGTATGTATGTATTCACTTGGTTACTAAGTATGTTGTACGAGATGCGTTTTCTTTTTGCAGGTTGAAATCTTTGAATGCAGCCTTTCAAAAAATTTTGCTCACTACAAAACAGTATAATGTACATAGACTTGGTGCTTTTGGGACATTTGATTTGTGGTCTATGATTTCCTGTACTTAGATTGTAAAATAGCCCATGAACAGCATATCAATATGTACCGGTAGCTCATACATTGAGGAAACAGTGTGGGAGCAATGATGGTTTGATAGAAAATTTTGTCAAATTGCAACTTGCAGATATCAGAAAAAAAATTGTAAATGATGTTCACATCAGACAAATCAAACTACAAAATAAGAAATCTGCCTGTAGATTGTAACATGTACCACTGGACAATCTCTGGATCTCATCCTGTTATAGAAGTTTCATCTTCTAGTCAGATCAGCCCAACATGTACCATGTACATCTACACAATTAGGTGACTTCTAGTTCTAACTCAAGTGAAAAATGAAAATTCCACACACGTCAAGCTAACAATAGCAGTCTGACTGCATATACATGTATTCACAAAAAGTACGAGTTTACAAGTTACAGTTAGCATAAATAGCAAACTTTGTGGCAGTTTTTGTAGCAAGAAAGGACGGATACTTAGATGGCAAGGGAAAAATATCAGCTCCAAAACAACAGCTCTTGAAGAACATAAAATTGAAACACTCCATGTGTTAAATAGCAAAGTTCTTTCTATCACAACCATTTTTTTTTCAAGCCGACGTTTCAATGACCTTCTGTCTTCATCGGTGCAATATAGGTTTACTGCACAGTAAACCAGTCAGAATTAATTCTGACAGTGCACTGACATTAGATGTTACTTGCGGCTTGAAAAATAAATAGTTGTGATAAAAAGAACTTTGCTATGCAGTTACCAACCTGATGAAACTATTTACGGACTACAAGTGTTACTTCACAACCATGAAAAGTGTAGCCATTCTTAACCTTCTCCCTGCTGCCTAACCCTGTTACCTAGACTATGCAGGTGCAGAAAGGCTACATCTGAGCAGTCAGAAGGTTAACATGAAGCCGGGAATTTGGCACGAAAACACAAAACCGCCAGCTCCCTTGGGTAAATACAAATGTGCTTGAGGAAAGTACAGTAGTTAGTAGAGTTAGTTTTGACGCCCCCCCACCCCACTTGTTACAGTAAGTTGCTGTTAGCAATTAGGCCACACTGACTTAATTTTGTGGATGACATCCTCTGAAGACCACAAAACTAGTGTGCACGGGCGAATAAAAAAATTCCGGCCAAAAATAAAAATGCTACTAAACCACAGGAATGCAAAGCTGGTATTGTGAATTGCGGCAGTACTTAGCGACGTATACGGCAAGCCAGCACATGCTGGCTTTTTGCAGAATTTATGAATCGGCACTGTACCTAATTGTACTGAGTTCTTGAGTGGTGGAGCTTGGGTAGCCTGGGTGCCGTCCTCCAGAGTTACCACCGGCTACGTATTGTCGCTAACCACCATGGACTACCCAGGCGAAGAGCCAGGCCAGAGCCTCGGAGGACGTGATTTTATTTTAGTATTTTTTTTTTAGAACAGGCGAAAATCAATGCACGCGCGGATGTCATCCATAAAATTAAGTCGGTGTGGCCTTTAAGATAGCACAGGAGGGTCAAACTTCATTTGGAAGGTTTTCTACACAACAAGATGGCAGCACAGTATTCAGCCAGTTTCTTTACAAAAATAGACTTTAGGATTTCTATGTTGGGGTAGTCTCCATTGCCATGGCAACGGTTTCCATGACTACAGCCTTGGGCAGTCACACGTAATATACAGCTGGCTCGGTTTGGAAGAGCCCATTCTGCGGCGGGGACGGATGTTCGCTGCGACCTTCATCTTTTTTTATATTTTTGTACACAGTTGTGAAGGTCGCCTTTCGCACAATGTATTTTTTTTCTGTCTGACAAATACTTAATATAAATTCTTAATCGCTCTTTGTTAATACTTCGTCCTGAAAGCTTTCTTCTTTCCATCCATTCTCTTAAGACAGAAATATAATAATATATAAATTTTGTGGAAGAGGTTCATCAGTCACGTATAGTTTAACAGTTACATAGAACATTTATCAAACAGTGACTGTTTTGAAAGGTAGCAACACATACTCCAA